GGTACCTTCTCGAAGATGGTTGTATCGAATGAATGAGACCCCCTTCTTTTAAACGCTTCGAGAACCGAAGAGGGGAGGGAGTTAATTCTTTAAACACGATCTGATTGGTCGAGGGGTGGGTCTAAAGTTGAACCCTGTCCACTGATTGGTCGAAAAATAGTTGATGGAAAGTCTCGAGCGAGAGATTCACTTTGACAGGTTCAATTAGACAGGATGTCACGAAACTTGACAGGATGTACCTGACAGATGGCTTGTGCTGATATCTACCGAAAACGGGAAGTTGCGGTCACCAGAATATTCTTGAAGGTATCTGATGAAATCGAGGGTTATTATAAGTCAAAGGTTATTACAAAAGGTTACTATAAGTCAAAGGTTGAGGGTGAAAGGAGGGTGAAAGGGGGGTTAGGGTTACTGGAAGTCAAGGGGAGGAGGGAGGGGGTTACTTACGGTCAATCAAAAGAGGACGGAAGTCACCGGAAGTTGACCATATATGGACATGACGGATGCCCCCCCTCCCCCCAAAAAGGGGGCGTGTCACCTGTCACTTGATTGATGGTTATGTATATTACTCTCTGATGACACTCACACTGTACATTCTCAGTTAGATGTCCCACCTTGCAAAGAAAAAGTAAGCAGATTCAAAAACTGCTCCAGGATTTATTTGAAAGAAAAAAAAACTGTTTTTGAGGTACCAAAGTATTTTTTTTTTTTGCTCAGCTTTATCTTTGTTATACTGTTGTCACTGTTTTTGTGATCCAGCTCAAACTTATATGGTCTAAACAAGTGATATGTCGACTTTTAACTAATGTATCCAGATCAGCTTATTTAGCTAACACATGAGGTTTTATCATGGCTGACAGGAAGGGGCAACTGTCCCCATATAAAATCCATATAAAAACAGAGCACATACAGATGATATTAAGATGCTGAAATTAAGTTTACTTAAAAGGGAATTGGGTATTAAAGACAGTTTTATAGTTCAAAACATGAAAGTTTTTAAGATGTATTTTCTGCAGTTGTGGTTTTCAACAATGATTTTAAAATCCCATTTTCTTTCTATGTAAATTTTGCCTAATATGCGTACAATGACAATAGGCAAAACAAAGGTTAATTGCCTCACAAATTGTTCTATTATCCTTGTCTCTAAAAGCCAACTATATTTTATATCAATTAGAATCTTTGAAATCTGTATATAAGGTCTACTCATCAAGGCAAATCTATATTTATCATTTGATCAAAAAGAATAAATAAATAACACTTTAATATCATAACTTACAGTTTTTATTAATTTAGCAATAATATAAAAATAATACAACTTTTATTTACAGTGAAATATATTGTATTGTAACCACCTCCAAACAATGTTACAACTTTCCCCGGGGT